GAACACATCTTAGTTCGTGTTCAACTCGTTAACTTATCGAACGAAATTAACGAGCCGAACACGAGCTTCTTAACGAGTCGAACACGAGTTGTTCGCGAACAACGAGCCATTTTGACAGTCCTATATATGCCTATGACCGCGCCACCCCCCCACCGTTTGAGCAATAAATTTATGCCATGCCATTTGTGGATAACACTGAGCTGGATTCATTTATTATATTATTACCCAATTTTGTAACACAATAATAAATTTCTTATCAACTTCTTTTATTCCAGCTAAATCTTGAATGTTGGACATATAAATATGTAGGAGTTGAGTGGTATGCATGAAAATGCCTTTTTTTTTTTGGGAAATTTACATACATACCACATAATTCTTATGTATTTGCACATCTAGCTAGCACACCAAGTTTGATATTTATACTCATCACCTAAAGGTTATAATTTTTTTGCATGAAAAAAAATGTATTTCATTTTTAAAAAGATGGTAATGGTGATATTTTTTTTATGTGCCGTTAAATATTTGATAATTTGAGTAATCTGCATGTAAATATGAATGTTTACAAATATGTAATGACGCAATTTATAATTTGTGATTTATAATGACATGAAGTTATTTATTTATTTATTGGTCTGCGAGTTTAAAATTTTTAGGTAGAAGAGGAAATATTCAACTATGGGGTCATCATATCCGCAAAATTCATTTTGAAATGATATAGGAATTGTTCAACTAGAAGTGAGCCATTTGGACCTTATAAACCTTGACATGTGGAATGAATTTGTAGCCCCTTGAGCCAAAATCACTTCATAGTGAATTTATAACAATAAAATAGGAGGGTCTTTATCCACTTTTCAAATTCTAGTTCAAATATCAAAATCTATGACAAAATTCTAACTCGAAATTTTTCATTTTTATCAAATTTTCAATGATTTGATCAATACACGTGTAAATGCATTGATTTGGTAGTTATAAAAATAACCTGTGTTGATTTTTAAATAATAATATTTTGAGTGATGTGTATGAAATTTTCCATAAATTTAATTGATTTGATATAAGTTGATTGAATATGTGGGCTTACTAAGATTGACCATGAAGATGATGAGCATAAATAGGCAATTCAATTCGACCAAATAAAAAAAAAATTATGTGATTAATTTTTGGTCTTTTAAAATTTCTTAGGGTCATTTACATGTATGCTACACAATTCTTATGAATTAACATACCTAACAATAGGGGTGTGCATGTAAATATGAGAATTTATTCTAACATCTAAACTCTACCGGTCGAGAAATATTTGCGTACGGAAAACATACACAGAGTTGCGTACATTTCAGGTTATTTGGAGGGTACAACTAGGTTACACTTATATTACAAAAAGAATTACAAGGGGGGTGTAACTTAAGTGTAACCTAATGATACATTCCGAATAACCTGAAATGTACGCAACTCTGCGTACGCTTTCCATACGCAAATATTTCTCCTACTGGTCAAATTTAAAAATCATATCAAAAGTAGCACGGTCAATGTCTTTTTTAAGGTAAAATGCATATTTTTCATTCATAGGCTTATGACAAGAGGGTGTTAAAAATATAAATATCACACTTTGGGTGTTAGATATATAAATACATAAAGTTAAGTGGTATATGTCTAAATACACCAAAACATTTCAGTTTGGACTCCTTAATTAATTATTGTTTAGTGAAGCTTCATTGTTCAATTTGATTTTAAATTAACCATTATTTAAAATCTTAATAAAATAAAAAAAATTAGAAAAAAATAAAACTTATTTTAAAATCTGATTTTAGTTTAAGAATTAAGATAACTAATCTTGCATCATTTTGGTATATTGCTATGACTTCAATATGGTTTTAGTGATTTGGTTTGATTTAGCATGATATGGTTATTATAGATTGATGATCGGGTGGAGCGACTACGTGATTTAATAATATGATATATTAGTTGGGCTGACAATTTCATTTTAAATTAATTTTCAGGTTCCATTTTAATGCATGATGTCACCTTCTCGGATTATAAATTATATTATTTATTTTAATTTTATAAGGCTTTTAGTATAAACCAATTAATTTAAGTAATTAGAATAAAAAAAATCAAATTAGTATTTATACATCATTAGTAAGTTTTGTATGGATCTCAAAGCGTGATACGAATCTAAAAAAGTTTATGAGCAAGGTACATTCAAATTTCAATTAAAATAATCTAGAACTCTGATTTAGCTAACTTATAGTCACTCATCTGCTTGACGAGAAAAACATAATAACACTAAAATTGGTGTAATCCAAGTTAAATCAAGCTCAGATCGAGACAATATGTCATTTCGAAATCTTGTTGTGCCAAATTAGAAGGTAAAAAAAAATTACAAATCTGACAAACTTATTGTCAAATCGAGTGTCTCGATGAAATGATTCTATCGAGCCCAATATCGCTCAATTCTGACATTGCTAAGACACTTGAATGTCAATGTACATGTTGTACGATCATGAGAATTTTTCTGGGCCGTTTGACGAAGTTGTCAGGATTCATTCGGTCTCACCCAGAGTCCATAAATAATACCTTACTCCCTCTTGAAAGGGGACCTAAACCTTGAACTGGAGGAAGTCCGAGACTTTGAGGAGGAGGAGCTGAGGTTTAGCGCTCTACACTGAAGATCTGGCGAATGTCCTTTGCTCCCACAACCACAAAAACACCACCGATCACTGATCACCAGCCACCGTGGATCACCATCAATTGTCCCCATTTCATTAGAATGAAGATTCTTGTGGAATCACGACATGCATTTTAAAATCCCAACATATGCAGTGGAGTAACTAACCAACCTTATGAAGTAATAGAGCATCCTAGAAAGTAATGCACTCTGAAGATGGTGTAATAACACACTTAAAAGACGATTTAACAACACACTTCAAAAATTATATAACAACACACTTCAAAGACAGTGCAATAATGCATTCCATAATAACTATTTACGACACACTTAGGATATGAAGACTTTCCCCCCGACCCTTGAAGCTTTCTCCTTGTAGTTAATCACCACGCCCGATATGACCAACTACGGCCTACGTGGCCCCATATTTAATGTAGCTACTAAATCTAGCCTTTGCAGCCTACAAACGTCATCA